AGTAGTTGTATGTGTTGGCATTTCTTGTTTTTTTCATCTATTTAGGCGTATGCATTATAAGTGTTTGATTCAATTTCTGTGAGAAGTGAGAAGTATGAAAGTGAAGATATATAATTGTGTTTTTTTGTAGTAATTTGTGTCTTAATAATGAAGTTCTTGCTTCAGAAAACAAAATTTTAGCATCAAACTAAATGGTACTTAAGTAGCTTGTCATGTGGAGAACGATATGAGGGTCTTATTAAATTACCAACAAAGAAAACGTCACATGGGTACACACAATTTCTTTTGCATACATTTACGCATACTAGGCACACACTTCATCAACTTATTTCTGATACATAATACAGGATAGACAGTGGTACTGATTAGAACATAGGTATTGTTGCACACAGCATAAAGAATAGAGGCCATTTCTTATGGGAATGTTGGCCTGAAATCCTTGACAGAAGGTTTCTTCTGTTAGATTAATGTCATTGTTTCCTTAGGGTACTGTGACACCAGGCATTACCAGGAGATCCTGTGCAACACCTGGTTCGCCAGCTGGAACCTCAAGATTTGGCACAGCACCAGGTTCTCCAACTGGAACATCAAGATTTCGCACAACACCAGGTTCCCCTGTTGCAACGTCAAGATTTTGTGCAGTGCTGGTTCTCCTACTGCATCACATCAAAATTTTGTGCAACATTAGGAATTCCTACTGAAATACCAAGGGAGTCTATTTTAAGATCCTTAATGAAAATATTTCCTTCATTTAGCTCAAGGTTTTCAGGTGTGTGACAATTGGGTTTCTCTATGGAGACAGACGAGGAAACAGGCCCTTCCACCACTTTCTGTCAAGGGTTGATCTCACCACAGCTATCCAATAATAATCCCCCATGTATTTTCTTGCTGTTAGACTAGTGCTAGAAAACTGCATAATGAGAAGGAAGATAATGATTAAATAAACTTAATACATGCTGCTTATTGAAATATATAGAAAATGGGTAATACACAAGAACAGTACAATCTTATGTGCAGAAAAAAAAAATGAAAAAGAAAAAATGCCTTTGAACCCCTAATCAAATGCTATCTAATTACAAGAGAAAGGAGAATGCCAAGAAAGGAAGGAAATTCACGATTTATGACAATGGGAACTAATGCTGATCTTTAGAGATTATATTAACTCCCACAATTTGTATGAAGGAAGGCAGTATGGCAACAGAAGTGAGGTCATGATTTATGTGAATGCTGATGAATATCTCTGCTTTCCCAAAAGCAGAGTAATAGAGAGGATAAGATTTTTGTGAAAATTAAAAATGTTAAATGGGGAGAATTGGACAAAACATTACTACTATTATTTTGTTTGCTACCTTAAAGAGGCCATTCTAGTACAGTAAAAGAGTGTACAGTTTAAGAACACCGCTATCCCTATATGAAAGTTTTCCATCTAGAAACATGAGTAAGATTCCTCTAATCAATCAGACAGTCCTATATTATATGTTTGAGATTTTATCCATGAGATTATTTGTACGAAAAGTGGATCCTAAAATAATCAAGATTCATGATTTTTTCTGTTGCTTTTAAGAGC